CTGCCTCACGGCTCACCTCTCACTGCAGTAATACTGTAGAGTGCAGCAGCTCTGTGTGCCCCAGTTCCTGAGTGGCAGATGTGTGATAAAGAGCTGTTTCGGCTGCTCTTGGATGCTCAGTGTTCTTCCCTCTCCCTCTCTGCTTCCTCCCTCCCCCCTCCTTCACGCCTGCCTGCGCTCAGAGTGTGACGGGAGTGATCGCGTGTCTGAAGATCATCACGCGGGAGAAGTCTCGCCGCATCGCCAAGTTCGCCTTCGACTACGCCACCAAGAAGGGCCGCAGCAAGGTCACCGCGGTGCACAAGGCCAACATCATGTCAGTCCGTCTCCGTGCTGCTTTTCTGTCAGTCCTGCGCGCCGTGTCTGCCGTTAACTGTGTGTCTCTGGCTGCAGGAAGCTTGGCGACGGACTCTTTCTGCAGAGCTGTGCAGAGGTGGCCGAATTCTACCCCAAGATCAAATATGAGAACATGATCATCGACAACTGCTGCATGCAGGTATTGGCTCCACGTCCTCAGAGCGTGAGCTCGCAGACAGGAAGCCGTGGTGCTCGTTGAGCTGCCAGCGCTCTCTCTCTCTCCCTGGGCTGGCCGAGATTGTAAGAATGAACTTGCATAAACGGGACTTTTAAGTCAAGTTAGTCATCTTATTATTCACTGGCCTGTGTGTTTGTTACTGGATTTTGTATTATAATTCTAGGTTTTTAATATTTTTTTTCTTAATAAGCAGTTTGTTTTAATTTGTGAATATCGTGAGTGCTCATTCACTGTGTGTTCACCTGCCCCTGAGAATCCTCTCCCGTCTCCTCCTTTGTTTCCCTTCTGGTCTCCGCTGTCCTGCTTCTCCTCCCTCCTTTCTCTCAGTCTCTCATTTGTCCCACATGGACATGAGTCCCAAGCAGTGGGAGGGGCATCAGTACCAGGCAGAGCTGGGCATCAGTCCCACCTGGTGGGTAGGGCAATGTCTCCATCCCTGGCGATGGGTGTGGCTGTCAGTGTGTCTGCCCCTTTGTGATGGGAGGGGTGGGGTGTCAATCTCAAGTAGTGGGCGGGACTATCAGTGTGTCTGCCCCTTTGTGATGGGAGGGGTGGGGTGTCAATCTCAAGTAGTGGGCGGGACTATCAGTGTGTCTGCCCCTT